CCAAAACCCCCCACGAAGTGCAAGACTCCGGGTCCATGTACCCACCAACCCAAAACTCCGTCGGCGAGACGGTCGTCCTAGAGACAGGATCGATGATGAATGAGGAGAGTGGGAGCGTGGAGGCGTACGAGGAGTGTTGGGTTGATTTACCGCCTTTGATGGTGGGTGGGGAGGAGAGGAGGGGGTGGGTTTTGAGGACTAGTTCTTTATCTTCTACGTCTTCTACGTCTGCGACGCCTCAAGGGAAAGGAATGATTATCCGTATCGGCGCCATAATTCAAGGTGTTTTCCGGTCTGCGAGTGGGGAGATGGGGGTGAGGAGGTGGATGTGGAGTTCTGATTCCGAGCTTGGGAGGAAATCCGACCCTAAGAGGGAAGCAGAGCCTGGCAAAAAGGCAGAGGCAGGCAATGAGTACGAAGGCGAGGAACTGCCCTGGAAGGTCGTACTGAGTATCGGGGTCCTGGAGTGTCCGATTGATGTCAAGGGGTTTGCGACGATGGAGAGGACGTTGGAGGTGGGGAGTAGGATTGAGGGGGCGCGCGTGGGATGGGAGTGTGTTGAGGTTATGGAGTGGTAGGTTTTGATGGGGGCTGTGTGGTTATTGGGGATTTGTTTCTTACGGGTTTGTTTAGAAGGGATAAGCGAGGGGTGGTTTGGTCGTAGACCCTTTTTTAGAAACATGTTTGGAGGCGTTGCAAAGGAGAGGATGGTAATAATATACCTTTATGGAGCAATCATCTATTGTAGATCGTCAAATGAATTGGACGCGGATTACATGGTTTCTGATAATCACATAGATACATTATTTATATCATCGAGCTACACTTGTCATTGAGAAAATCAACTCAGGACCATAAACACTTCAACTAAACCCGAGCTACATAATCGGAATTCAACCCTCCAGTCAGTTCCTTTCAAACTCAAACCCCACTCAAGCTATTGACATGCGGAAAGGTTAAGTGCGGCATAACCATGTAGATCCCAAATCATTACCCCCCGAAAAAAAAAGCCATCCCGTCGCAACACTCCACGGGTAAAATTCACAATACGTAAGAGTAGACAGGAAAAGAAAACATAGCGCATAGGAACACATCTCAATAGGAGAATCAAAAAAGGACATGCTTACGAAGCCGAGGACTCACAGGTACGTATACTCGAGTACCATCCTCGATGATGCTCATGATCGGGGACATCCCAGACGAAGAAAAATACACAGCAAAAGTTTTATAACACCTTCTACAAAAGAAGAAGGCTTGCAGGTAAAACAGGTTTTGCAAATCGCCCACCCAGCTGAAGAAAACTACACAGCAAAAGTTATATAACGCCTACAAAAAAAAGGAAGGCTTGCAGGTCAAACAGGTTGTGATACTAGCCCGCCCAGCTGAAGAAAACTACGCAGCAAAAGCTGCAAAGTACCTTCTACAAAACAGAAGGCTTGCAGGTTTTGATAGCAGCCCGTGTATGCTTGCGTGGTGGTGGCTTTGCTCGCCCCGTCTCAATATGTATATGCATATGGAGCAAACATCCAAAACGGACACAGATTGATCGGAGAAAAGGCACGCATTCATATACCTTTTCCCATAGCAATAAGAGCGAGAATGAAAAAATATGACAGATTAGATTAGGGCGGAATTGCCGAATGAGCAGGTTTCCCTTGGATTAATATGTGGATGAAAACGCTCAACGGCAGTCTCTAGAGCCAAAGAAACAGGTAGTGAGAATTGTAGCACCTGCTTGTACCACCCCAGCCCTGTGAGACAATCTGACTAATTGTTCCATAGCCGAAAGGTTGCTTATAACGATGATCCCAAACCTGTGGGACAATTAACGTAATCAACCCAAAAGGATTGGGAAAATCATTGGGGGGTTATCCACAAAGTTGACACAGAGAGGCTGATATAAACTGCCGCTTTTGCCTGCTGAGCCAGTAAACATAACGAGGCTAGCAGCCCAGACCCATTTTTGATTTGCAATGCAATGCAAGCAATGTCACCCGGGCTGCTACTTCCAAGTCATGCCAACAAGATAAGCCCCAAAAAACAAGCAGCTATAGAAAATAGGCTTCGAGATTGCAAATGTAAATAACACCACAATTTGTGGACGTTCCTTACTCGTCGTACGTCTTTGAGTTGAACTCAGACTAGCAGACATTCACATGTCCAGGTTGTCCCACAGAGTGATCTCATCCCACCTTTCTCCCAGACGCCTTTACCCGGATGGGCTGATGATTGGATGTCTTCCAGGTAAGACAGAAGTCTGGTGTCACACCCCACGTGTTATTGTACAACCGTACGCTCCCGAGGTCGTACCTATGGCTGAAGAAATGTTTACTTTTAGTCGTCGGTGTTGTAGTAGTCTCGGTTGACTTGGTGACCTTTTGGTGGACTGACTTTTATCAGCGGACCCCTCATTCCAGGCAGTGGGGTTTTTTTGAGTGTATTTCGCTGTTTTTTCGGAACTTTCGCCTCTTTGATGGGGCGCCCCGAAAGACCCCGGCGCAGCCCTTTGACCCCGCCATGATCGAGACCAATCCGAGAGAAGCGCACAAAAACCGCAGACCCGCACAGGCGCACAAAAGACGCAGAATGGAACCTTTTCCCAGCCACTATTGGTCGATCGTACTGAAACAAGTAAAAGTCCGCCTGGGCGACCCAATACGCTGACGAAGGTAGAGGGGAGAGGGGAGAGGGGCAGTCACACCCCGGCCGCGGCGACGAGTCGAGGGCATATAAGGACTGCCTCGTCCCACCACTGTTGAACAAATTATTCATCAGCATCATCTACAAGAAAATCCACTCTTCAAACACATACCAAAACACTTTTCCAACCACCCTCAACAACCACCCCAAAACCATCATCATGAAGGGAGAATGCGGATGCTCTGGCGCCTCAAGCTGTAGGCGGAACCCCCCATCTTTGGCCAAGTAGTTATTTGGTCCGTCAGCCACGAAAGGCTATCAGACGAACTGGCGATTCTACGTGAATCCGGAATTCTCATGCAGAGTCGAGACTGACTTTCCTCCCATAGGCAACTGCGGCACTAGCTGCTCATGCTCCAGCTGCGGAAAATAAACGACCTCCTCTCTCTACCAACTTTCACTGCGACACTTCACTTCAATCTACCCCCTCTGATCTTCAACACGGTCATGTCTCCGACGCCGATATGTTAGTCCTTTGGGTATCGCATGCTGGGTTTGGTTTTGGATGGGTCTTTTAGGCTGCGCTTTTTGGGAATGATACCCGGTTGGATTGGATAGTTCGTGGCATGACGATGGGATCGGAAGGTCGCTCGTTTGGCTTCTGCGGGCAGGATTCGGGATTCGGGATCATAAGGTTGAAATACAATGATATCGATACCATACGTGTACCATTCATTATGCGTCTTTCATCGTGTGTTTGAATTGCCATGTGCAATGTGCATTGAGTAGTGAGTGTAGAAGCAGTACTTGTGTAGAGAAGGTGACGTAGCAGGTTGCAAGATTACTCGTGTTCTGTGTCTTTGCGACTTCGAGACTTCGAGATTTGGAGACTCCGAGTTCCAGGTTGTTGAGGTTCGAATCGAGTCGTTCCTGCTGAACTGAAATTTGTCTTGGCACACCTCCCTTTCTCTTACCCCCACCCTCACTACGTACCTACCCTCACCACCGTAGGTAGGCGCTGGTAGATACGTAGCTAGTCTGCAGGTAGATAGCTGGACGTCGGTACTGGCTGGGGGGTACGAGTACTCGAGTAAGCTCCAACCTCCAAGCTCCCGTCTCGTCTGTCCCATCTCAACCTTCAACCCAACCAAACCTTGAAGCTCCTCTGCATCTCTGCATCTCTGCATCAAGGGCCATTCCACAGTCTGACCAAATACCACCGAATACCACCGAAACGGCCACCAAGAGTCTTGATGCCTCTCTCCTACGTTCCATTCGGTGCCTCTCATGTCACCTCCACCTCCACCTCCACCCCCGCTTCTGCAACCATTCCCAAGCTCACCAAGTTTTCTCTCTCATTGTGCTCCCAGATGTCTGTCTATGGGACTCCCAATGACCCCAACCATGGGACCCAGCTCAGCCAACGGCACAGGGACCAAAAGAACAAACGACCAAAAGCCAATTACGCTTACTGCGGTCCGTCTCTTTAATTCATCCTTACCAATAAACTTCAATATCAGACCAAGCGGCAAGATGCCTAGACATGCGATGCTTTTGCCCTCCCTCCTTCGCTTCTGTGCCGATACGAGTAACTTCAGCTAACGACTCTTTCCAGTACTGTGCCGTAGTGTTCGAGTAGCTGGGACGCCACCACCAACTAGTAATTGACTTTGGGTCAAGCTTCCGAGAAACCGGGCTATCTCGCCTCACCAATTCCCCGATCCCTACTGTGTTTCTCGAATCAATCTTCTCCCTTGAAGCTCATGGTGCGTTTCACCAACCACCCTCCACGTAAATTCGCATGCGTGACTTCTGCGTTGCATAGTGAGGCTACGTGAAGAGGTTGTCATGATCTTCCTTATCATTATCAATCGGTTGTAATAGTCCGGAGAAGGATCCTGGCTTTGATACCCCGGATAGTTGAGGCTTGATGTTGAAATCAAGGATTCTTTGGCCGCTCCAATCAAGAAGCCTTCTTTCCTCTCTATCACCAACTCCAAGCCAACTGATGTGTTGATCTCCCTCAAGCCTTTCTCTTTCCGTTCCATGTTGACGGGCAAGTCCGGCCATTTCCTTGTTTGCCAATGTATCTGCTCCTTTTCCGTGGGAAGGAGGTTGTCACCGGGGCTTGTCATTGAAACCTTCAATCCACGAAGGCCCGGTTGAATGAACGTGGCACCAAGAAGGGCACCTGGCTCGTCGATGTGCTGTTGCGATATGCTTTGGAATCTGATTCCGCACCTCCATCTCAGATAGTTGAAACCTCATTTGTCGCCATCAAAAGCCACATCCAAACTAAGGTGTGTAGTACACCCACTTGTCCATCACATGGCGACCATCAGTTCCCGTAAGTAATGCCGCAGAATAGTGGGAGAAACGAATATATCAAGGGTCTGGATGAAGCCCTTCTGTCCATCTTGTCTTTGACAAACAACCATCTCTGAGAATCATCAAGCAATAACAAACACTCAAACTCAACTTCTATATCTTCAAGAAAGAATCTTTCTTTCTCCCACCACCGAAAAAATGGCACCAGACTGCTCCTGCTCCACTTGCAACTGCGGCGACAGCTGCAGCGGATGCTCTTGCTGCTCAGTATGTCTATCAACTCTTGTTTATTAGCGTTATCTCTTCAAACGAGAAGGTGCGAGAAACTAACACAAGCAGCACTAAATCTCCACCTCAACCTCACAATCTCAACACTTCCTCTTCTCGCAAGACAAGCCAACACATCTCCCACTCAGCAATGTTCAACGTTCGATTTTGCGACTTCAATCGAGGGTGGGGGATGACGGGATAGGCAGATGGATCGGGTATCTCTTTCATGTACTGATCGAATGTTGAATTTGTAAGAGGGTTCGGAGATCGATACGTTTGTGTGCGGCGACGATAGGGCTTTAGGAACCTACGGGCTTTTTGTTAGCTGGGTGCAAGTGAGGAATTTGATTTTATTTGATTTTATTTGATTTGATTTGACTTGTGCTTTTAAATCGCTCGTGATGTGAATGATGAATGCATTGTGGGTGTGTGTGGGTGTAGACTTACCTTGGCCCGAATACCTACCTACCTCTGCCCCTCCCCAAACACGTACTTGAAATATGAAAGTCGCGCGAATACTGTTCGCCATCGTTTTATTTCCAAGCAGGATCGATTCGAAGTAGCGGTGGGCTCTCCCATCCCCTTAAGTATTCCGTACGGGACCATCTTGTGAGACAATGAGCAGCACCTTGGTCCTCGGACACCTTGTTGGATACCCTCCACCACTTCCAAGAGTATCCACCTTCCTCGACGTACTCCCTGCTCCACCAACGGAAGCACCAGACTCCAGAGGATGGGCTGGGTTGATTGGGATGCTACATGAGGGATCGAATTCCGCTTGGGTACCTTGATGGGTTCGAGATACTATTCCGTATAGTCTCGTACCCACAGTGGAATGGATGTGACGTGCTAACGTGCGGTTCGTGGGTTAGGGAATGGGAATGTGAGACATAGGATAGGCCTGTCTGGTGTAGGTACCTGACGACGGGTTTTTTGTTGCATGTCGCGGGGTTTGGGACATCAGGGTGTATTCTTGTTTTGGGGGGAAAAGAGATATGGAGTGGAGTGTAGGACTGCCAATCTAGGACTCAAGACTAAGTGGTAGGAATAGTTCTTGACTTGTGATCACTGTTCTCTCGTCATGGCCTCTCTCCTCTCCCGACTCTCGACTGTGGAGTGGAGAAGTAAGAAGTGAAGTGAAGTGAAGTGACATTGGTATCATAATATGGTTTTTGTACAGTTCAACCTTTTAAGGTTATAAGAGAGGAGAAGAAAGGCTGCGGCTCATCCCTTCCCGCCACCACCGCAAGAACAGAAAAATGACAGACCGTGCAGCTAGCAGCTAGTATATCCATCGAGGAATCCAGAGGCACACATGAGAATATCCATTCCCTTTCCCTGCGTTTTCCATCGCCCAATACCATCCCTTCCGTCGAATACCCACAACCCTACCTACGTGTCTTATGGTATCCACATTAAAAAGAAGTGTCTGAACATTAAAAAAATTTACTCTCCCTAGCAGTTGCGGTCTCTTGTGATTGATGGATCAATGGCGTTTGTCTTTTTAGTCCTTGTTTTGTTGCTCTTGTTCTCTGAGAGCGGCGCCGGTGCCTCGATACCAGACGTCGCCTCCCCATCGCATTAATCGCTCGACGGCTTGGGTAGGTGTGAGGGCTGGTCGAACGTCAAGGTAGAATACTGGCTCGCCTGTGGGTTCATCTGGGCCGGAATAGTAATCGATGACGTATCTGATTTCCTTCTTTACCCCGTTGTGTTCGCGCTGGACGTACCAATCGTGGCGATCAAATGGTGGTTCAGTTCTATATGTAATTAGCAGAATGCATGTTTAGAAAGAGAGGATTACTTACCCAAAAGCAGAAGGATATATCTTGCCCATGATCTGGATCATAACAGCCTTGGGTGTCATCTCCTTCGGTCTGCCTTGGAATCTCATCAGACTAGGTTGTGGTACTTCATCCATATTCAATCCAATATCCGCTCCAGCATGCGACCCCGCCTCTCCTTTCTTGCAAGCCTCCCATCCTTTTCCTAGCCCTCTACCGAACCTGCGCTCCCATTCTACGATCTCGGCCCAAGCACCTTCATTCAAGAAGTTGTGTACGGATACCATACTCTCTACTGCGGTGGCGTCTGTATCGGTATATCCCTTTCTTAGCAAGGCGTTGTACATCTGTTGTGGTGAGGGGTATTCCCAATTTCCGTCTCCGGTGCCTTTTGGAATTGAAGATGCCTCGCGGGAAGTGGGGAGAGCGACTGTCTGGTTTTCGGCGCGGTCTTGGGAGAGATCGGAGAACATGTAATTTAGAGGGTTGTATTTTGAAAATGCGGAGGACACTTTGGATTCGCCATTCTTTGAGGGATCGCTGGGTGTGTATGGACAGGCGGACTCGGCGGGGGGTGTAGGAGGTTTGGCTACTGGTGTAACGGCTTTATGCATAGGACATGAGGGCTGAGGTAGTTAGATATCTTGCTTGTGTTGTGCATGGGGATGATGTCTTACTGGTGGCTTTGCATTTCCTGTGGGAATTGCATGAGGAGCTGGTCTGGCGTTGACAACGGAAACATCTGAATCAGCCCAGAACCAACCCATGATGGCGTCGCGATGAGAAGGAGACTGCGTAGGAGGATTTGAGTTTTGTCAAATTGAGAATCTGATTTTGAGGAGAAAGAAATCGTGATATGAGGGAGGTAGGAGTCTATCAAAGGATGGTTGATGGCAATTTCAGGTCCGATCTGTGGTAGAGGTGAGCGCAAGCCACGCCAAAAGATTTCTGCCGAGTTATGTCCACTTTTACTCACTGACTTGGTCCAAAAGTGGGCCAGAGGTTGTGAGTGCGTTTGGAGTTTCTACAGGCTTTTGCTAGCGTGAAGTGCTATTGTTTGAACTTCTATTTCTTCAGAATCAGTCTTTTCTTGTCAGAAATCAAACTACGTAGCCCTTAACTTCCTTAGAGACTCAAAAAGCAACCTTCCGTCTACTCAAATATCTAACTACCAAAAGCTTTCTATTCGTATACAATTTCAATTCCAATTTCAATGTAAGTGGATTCTTTAGACTCAAAGAATATCCTTTCTTATGAACAGAAGCCTATAATATTACTGTTCACAGATTTTAAACTGTCTCTCTGCAGTCATTTTTTCACTCTGAACTTATCATTTCCAATAGTATCGTTGGGAGAATGTCGGAATGAACAAAGGGAGGAAAATATTGGGTGTCTTTAGCGAGTGGTCTGAGCACAACTGGATTTAAAGTTCTCCCAGACACTCCGACTCTCCAACTATTTTACTCAATACACACTCCATCATCTGCTTCTTCCACTTTTTGTTCCCACATTTGGGGAGTGTATGCATGCCTGTGTGCCTCAGTTCAATCTGGTGATGTCACTGATTCGCTCTTAGAAGTAAACTTGGGTAGCTTCAGTCGGTCGCAATCACTAGCACCAGCGCCAGCGTCGTCACCTTCCATACTACACACGACCGATTTGTCGCACTCTCACTCTCCATGGAGACCCGATAGCATATCTCCAAAAATAATCGTTCAATCGGTTTTGGATATAACTATGCGACCAACTTTGAGCAAGGGCTGGACATGCGCTGGCCTGGGTCAATCTATCTTCAGAGTTCGCCCTTTCACAAGATGCCTCAATCAATTGCCAAAGGCCACAAGTCGGGCATTCAGCCATACAGGGAGGAGTAATGTTTACTTTCGCTTACCACCACGTCGTAAGGGATTAGTTCTTGCTGGAACTGCTGCTAGCTTGAGCCCAGTTGCTTTTGTGCAATTGTCAGAAGAAGAGAATGGAGGAACAGACCAAACCGCAGAGGGGAGGATGTTGGAAGCATCACGAGAGGAGATCAGGAAGAAAGTCTCAGAAGACAGCTCTGGGATTAGAAGAGTTGTGGAAAGTGTTGTGCTGTACTTGGACCTTTACATTTGGGAACCGGCCTGCACAGGAATGCGATTCTTACACTTGGTCGTCATATTTGTTCCCATTATATTGGCAATTCCAGCTGTATGGCTTGGGCAAAGACAAAAGAATAGAGATAACGAGAGGAGTGGCACGTTATTTTGGTACTGGTTTCTGGTCAAGTCTATGGAACGAGCGGGGCCAGCATTTATAAAAGTAAGCTTCTCTCCCTTATATTTCACAAAACCCTCTGTTGAAACTATATAGCTTGGACAATGGGCAGCTTCTCGAACCGATATTTTCCCAAACGAAATGTGCGAAATCATGTCTCAGCTGCATTCAAATGCGCCAGCCCATTCCCTCCACGATACGAAACGAATTATTAGAAGGGCCTTTGAAGGCAGACCTTTTGAAGAAATATTCGAAGAGTTTGAAGAGAAGCCATTGGGAGTGGGTGCGATTGCACAAGTATATCGAGCAAAACTTAAATCAGATCTGGCTGCGCCTGGAGACCCCGATATCGAAGAACCTCGGAATTTGCGACGAAATGTTCGCAAAAATGTTGATACTCTGATCAAGAGTACACCACAGCGAGTACCATCGAGCTATGTTGCAATCAAGGTTCTGCATCCTGGGGTTGAGAGAATGGTTAGGCGAGATTTGCGAATAATGGGCTTCTTTGCGTCGGCTATCAATTTTATCCCAACCATGGAATGGCTCTCGCTACCCGATGAAGTCGAACAGTTTGGAGAAATGATGCGTTTGCAACTAGATCTCAGAATTGAAGCTGCCAACTTGACTCTATTTCGGAAGAATTTCAAGGATAGAACTACTGCTTGGTTTCCATACCCATACACCGACTTTACTACCAGACAAGTATTAGTAGAGGAATTTGCTACAGGAATTCCTCTTTCAGATTTCATGGAGAATGGGGGAGGCGTTTTCCAACAAGAAATTGCTGATGAAGGACTCGACGCTTTCCTGCGCATGTTGTTACTGGATAACTTCGTACATGCAGATCTTCATCCCGGAAACATTATGGTTCGCTTCTATCAATCGGCACTTCCAGATCTTCCATTCAGTGGAAAACACAAGGACGAAAATCCTCAGAACCAACCCGATGTTACCGAACAAGTACTTGCTCGTCTTCGACCGTACAGACATAAGAAAGATGTCAAAGCATGGGAATTGGAACTCCAGAAAATTGATAGTGAAGGATTTAGGCCGCAATTGATTTTCATCGATACTGGTTTGGTTACCGAACTCAATGCGACGAACCGAAAGAATTTCTTGGATCTATTTAAAGCCGTTGCAGAGTTTGATGGATATAAAGCCGGTCACCTAATGTGCGAACGATGTCGACAACCCGATGCTGTTATCGATGAAGAGATATTCTCCTTGAAGATGCAACATCTTGTTCTCGGCGTTAAAAGCAAAACTTTAGCCCTTGGAAATATGAAGATTGGTGATATTCTAAACGAGGTTCTCGGTATGGTGCGAAGTCATCATGTACGGATGGAGGGCGATTTTGTCAACGTCGTTATTAGCATTCTTCTCCTCGAAGGAATTGGCAGGTCGCTGAATCCCAATATCGACCTTCTCTCAAGCGCTTTACCTATATTGAGACAACTTGGTGCTCAAAGTGGTGGCGGTATGCTAAGACAGGGCGATTTCTCGATGCTGAAAGTCTGGGTTGGTTTGGAGACTAGGAAGTTCCTGCAGGCTAGCATTGAAGACGTAAGTTTCGAGTCAAAACGATTGAACCGTACCCATAGTCTTTGAATATTAGCTGACTATTAAATAGGTTGAAAGATGTGTGAAGTACGACCTACTTTCGCCTAATGTATAATATTAAAGGGGGAATCAGTGATGCGTCACGTGTATCGCATCACGTGGATTGTATGCATAGCAAGGCGTTCTGGTGTTTGGAAATAGGCCCTCATTGAGTATTAAGGCATACAATGAACATTCTCCTTTCTTTTCGAATATACCGGTTCTTTCGAAAATAGAATTCTGTTAAACGACATTCGCGTTGAAGATTCCGACTTTGCGCTATAAGGTTTGCCGATTGGAGCCGAACTGGTTGTTGTCGAAGTCATCCACAGCCTTCTCTGGTTATCCTCAATGTCCTGCACAAGATTTGCAACCACAATTGCAAATCTTGTGCGAGACTATTGAGAATAATGAAGAAGAACAATTTCTGCTTATTCGGAACGTTTTGGGACAATATTTCGTTCTTCCCACCCTTCTCCTACAACGCATTACCTTCCTCAAGTTAGACGAGTCCTGTTATGACATGAAGTGGATGGACGCTGGATAGTGAATCCCATCCAGGTCGTCTAATTTAAAGGACAATAGCAAAGCTCCCATTCAGAAGTTCCCGCTATTGTCGCGGCGTCACAATCACAACTGCAAGTCATCTTCTGTTCGCACTCTTTCTGTTCGCTGCTTGGATTCAAATTCCAATCACTTTCTCTTGTCTTCCATTCCCATTACATCAATCTTCCGTACCTATCGCTATTGCGCATCCTCTGGCAGTACCCACGATGTTTGTCCCCGTCGAACCAGCACGTATCCGCGAAGATACCGTCACCACTCCACCTCGAGTGTCTCTTGGAACGAGTCCCTCGGCCGCAGGGCCAGGACGATCTACAATGGCTACAACTCCAAGACGTGTGTCGCTTTGCCTCGAGACCCCTTCGCCCCCGCCAAATGCTCCTCTTCCACCCAATTCACCAAGACGATCGAGTATTGCGTCTCTGAACTTTGGTCCCCCTCCAACACCACCTCCAAACCGCCCACTGCCACCTCTCCCCACCAGTACCCCGAGAAAGCGGCCGTACAAATCGATCAAGAGGACTCAATGGCACAATTCGTCGAAGGTATCGCCGACTCCCAGCTCCCAGAGACGCCTACTAGGGCGTATTCTCAACGGCATCCACGCTCCCGAACATACGCCAATCAAATGAAGCGCCTCTCGGCTCCTGCTGCTCCCGTCGACCCGATTACCTTGCGTACGCCTACCTATATCGCGCAGCGCAACCGCCATACGAATATGTTTGATATCCTCCAAGATCTGGATGTTCCACAACCATTGGATAACATCCATGAGGAGGAGGGTGCGAGGGATGGAGTCGTTTTGCCTGGTCCTGTCGCTCTGGGAGATTTCGCGGTTCCTGCTACCGAAGCCCTCGCTAGCGGGGACAGATTCAACGTGATGGGGTTCGGTTAGCAGTGATACCAGTGAAGAAGGAAAGGATGGAGATGAGATGTACGGTTTTGAAAGGAAATCCCCCATTGAAATGTCAGCATCTCAAACTCTTACTAACGAATTTACAGATCTCCACGTCCTTATACGCGAGCTAGAAGACCTTCCCGTCCCTACAATCACGCAAATTCCTCTTACTCCCCTCCCAAGACCCGGATCAAGTACTGGAAAGAAGGAGAAGAAGCGTATGTTTCCCGCTTTTTTCCCCTTATTTTTAGTGTAGATACTAATATGGAAATATATGGGATCGTATCGAAAGAGAGTTGTGAAGGGGGTTAGAAAGGGGGTTAAGGGGTATAGAGAGAGCTTTTTAGAGGTTGTAAAGTCGTATAGAGGTGGTTTTTAGGGGGGTTTAAGAGTGTTTTACTAGGGAAAATGGAAGAAAGTAGAGAATTAGTAGAAAAACGAGATTTTTTAAGGGAATAAAGTACGTTTTCGTTAGATATTTATTAAGTATTTGTTTTTTTCTCGCTTAACTATTATTCCTATACTTAGTATTTTCGTCTAACTTGTACTAATAATAAATTTCTATTTACTTTTATCTTATTTTAATATATTTTGCTTATTTCTCTAAAAAGAGCTAGAAAATAAAGTTCTCTTTTTTAACTTAAAACTTAGATAAGAAACTTTTCTTTTATAATATTCTAATAAATAAACCTAATTTCTTAAACTTTACTTTAGTAGTTTAAAGAAATAGAGAAATTTCTTTTTATATAAAGTGTTAGAAGAAAAGAGGGATTAAAGGAAAGCAATTATGGAATTTTAGGATTTAAAGAGATTTTAGTTTTTTGATATTATTATTATTATTATTATTATTATTATTATTATTCCTTTTAACGTGCTGTGTGAGTCTGAGACTATAGTAGCACGGCTGGGGGTTTCCCTCCAACAGATGAGTAAAGCTGTACTAAATACATGTTTGAGAAGGGGTTTATGGTCATTACAGTTCTTGGGTTGTTGGAAGCAGCTAGGCTTCTGGTTATGACAAAAGAAAAGTTGTTATGTTGTAGTACGCCCCCTCGTTTCACGCCCTGTACGCTACACTTCCTCGTTCTCGTGCAAAAACCTTCAAACCCTCAGTTAGCCTTTCAAGAGAGTCACCTATCGACACTGATATCCAGCTCATTGATATTACTGAAGGAGAAGAAACACTACAAGTAATCAACATCTATAACCAGAAAGACCAGGGAGAGCACGCTAAAAGAACTTTTCAAAGACATCTACAAAACTATTGTATTAGAAATAATACAATAGTCATGGGCGCAATGCCAAAAAAAACAACCTTTTTTCGAGATCAAATTTTTTGTTCTAAATCACTTGCTCTCACTTGCTTGTACTAAACAAGCCGATT